TCCATGTCGGTTATCCCCTCCTCCATATCACGAGCTTCTGAAAACATGAGTCAAGTTCTCCCTTTAAAGCATCAAGCTGCGGCTGGAATTTCTCGAAAGCGGCCCCTATCTCCTCTCTTATTATGGAGCGTATTAGTACCGACAGCTCCGAGTGGTTCACCAGCGAGGCCCCGCTCTCCATGGCATTCTCCTCTGCTGCTTGTGTGTCACTCACTCCCGAAAGACCGCTGCTCTCATTCAATGGCACTTTAGCCTTTTTGTTTGGTTTTTTCGGTGGCATCCCCCACATACATTCCCCACATCGTATTTCGCTATAAACTTTGAGTGATCAACTTGCTCATCTAATCATAACCTGATTTCTCAAAAAGTTTGCTACGGGAGCTACACGCTCTCAGACTTCACACACAACTTCCGCGCATGCGCATGAGTATGAAGGGTTAGTAAAGAGCCCAAAGGTGACGGCAGATGTAAGGGGCTGAGAGGCAGGGTAGTGGGAGGCACCTACATTCCCAACAGGTGGCTCCACCCGCTTCCAATTAGCAGTATTGGGAGCAGGTGTGGAGACCTCACACCTGGTGCTAATCACTCCCTCAAGGGAGACAAAGCACACAGAGTTGCTCAGTTGTGTGTGGCACATGGAGGGAGCAGGAAGCTCCCAGTGTAAGGAAACGTTTTGGTAAGCTGGTAAGTCGGTTAACGGCAACGGCTACGTTAGCCTTTGTTTAATGGAAGGTATTTTAGAGTTTGATAGCAATAAAGCCTTTTTTTGGATTTGAACACTGCCTCGGTCGTGATTGCTGCACTACCACTTTCCTCTTTATCTGCCCAGTCCTGTTACACTGGTGGAGAATGCGGGCATAAGGACTCTAGTGGTGGTGTTGCAGTCACATTTTTAAGATGGAGGATGTACTAAGAGAGTTTGGTGTGCATTTCTACTGAGCAGCAGACTCTGCAACGGGAGATGATACAGGAGCAGCGGAAACAGAATGCGCTTCTCCATGTGGAGGTCCTAAAATGCCTAACAGCAGCCTCTCCTATCCAGAGGGGAGCAACCGTGCAGCCTAACCCAGGTCGATTCATCCCCAAAATGACAGAGTGATGAGATAGAGGCCTACTTAACAGCCTTTGAGCGCACAGCTGAAAGAGAGGGCTGGCCAAGGGACTCCTGGGCTGATCTGGTTGGACCGTTCCTCCTGGGCCCGGCACAGCAAGCTTACTTCGACCTCCCTACTGACCAAGCAAAGGATTACGTCGTCTTGAAGAGGGAAATCCTGGTGAGGTATGGCTACAGCTTAGCAGCAAGAGCCCATCGGTTCCATGACTGGAAATACAAGCCAGAGTTGTCAGCCAGGGCCCAGATGTATGACCTAGCCCGGGTAACCAGAGCCTGGCTGACCTGCAACCCCGAAAAGTTAAGTGTTTTAGAGAGGATAATGATGGACAAATACATTCGGTCTCTGCCCTATGAGATCAAGAAAATGACAAGCCAGCCAGTCTGGATGAGTTGGTTAACCTAGTGGAGAGCCACATGGTCACAGCGGACCTGCTTAAGTCCACACGACCAGACACTGAGTGGGGCCGGAAAGTCAGTGGGGAAGCATCAAGGACTAGACGGGCACGAGAACCACCACGGGAACCAGAAGAGGTAAGGCGGCGACAGTCCTACCTGCCAGAGGGCCAACCGTGTTGCTACCAGTGTGGGGAGACAGGCCACATTTCCCGGGACTGCCCAGGGAAGGATGAGCTAATGCCGACCGCCAACTCATCTGGTGCAAGGCCCTGCCACCTTCTTGACTCTTGCTGGGTACAGGAAAGCTCCCTGGCTCAAATGATACCAGTCAAAGTAAATGGAAAAGATGCAGAGGCGCTAGTGGACTCAGGAAGTGTGGTGTCCCTCATTCAACCCCACCTCCTCGACCATTTGCCATCTGAAGAGACTGTGACCGTCTCCTGTGTCCATGGGGACAGTAAATTATACCCCACATAATTCATCCACCTTACCACGGTTAAAAGGCAGCTGTGAGCTGAAAGTGGGGGTCGTTCCTTCCCTACCAGTCCCAGTCTTGGTGGGGTGAGCAGTGCATGACATTAAGGATTTTGGGAGATGGCCCTGTGGGCCATCTAAGCTAATTTACAGATGGCCCTGAGCCCAATAGAGATTGCCCTGAAGAATGCGCGCGGACGAAATGACGCACAAAGGGTTTGGGGGGCCTCCCCCTAGAACATTTCGATTTTTGCAGGTCTTACGCTGTCTGGTGCATTCTCTAGACTGAATTATAAGATGAACCACCACAATATTATAATGTACAATTTCAATTTTATTCTTCATTTCACTTGTTTGTTTGTTCTTGTTTGTGTTTGCTCGCTTGCATGCTCTGCATAGCTATAAGAAATACTTAAGTTGTTGGTCAAGACACTTTCCATCTGATGAAGGCAAATGCCTTCCCAGATGTAAAAAAGTAGAAAACATTACATTCAGTTATAACTGCCAAAACAAACGTTATTTACACTATTATGGCCCCTGTTAAAAATGTTTAACCAGCAGGTGAGGCTTCATTGCCCGAGCTAAATACTAGATGGCCCCGGGCCATCGGGCAGTCGTTAATGTCGAGCCCTGGTGAGACTGCCCACTATACAAGCGCCTGCGGCACCAGAAGGAGGTGAGTCCCAAAAAGCCCAAGCGTGCCAAAGGAAAACTAGAGAAAGGACAAATTGCCACCCAGGGTACTTCTCCTCAGCAGATCCCCAAAGTTGTGTGTCCTGCAGAGTCCTGCACGGGTCTGATTTTCAAGACCCGCTCCCACCCCGCGACGTGCAATAGCGAACCTGCCCCGCTACCCGCAGATATTGCCAATTAGTTCCGCAACCCGACCCGACCCATCGGCACAAGATCCGCAACCCGACCCGAACCCGCATATATATGAGCAGTGAAAACGTGCAATTATTAACACACGCAGTTGCATATTTGTCTCAAAAAGCGTGGGATGTTGGTTATTTTCTCCATCTAGGATGACACCAAAAGCCTCCCAGACGTTGAATTTCGCTCTTGAGGAAGTGTTATTGAAAATGCTGTATTCTCCGCTAGAGCTTCATCTCAGTCATTGCGAATGTGGCGCGCACAGCAGCAGATTGATGCGCTGCAGAGGTTATGATTATGCGCGGTCCCGCGGGGGAGAGGTCTGAGGATTTAAACATTAAACTAAATTATTATTATTTTAATATATTTATTATGCAATACCCGCGACCCGACCCGCATCATCTTTGTTTTACCCAGAACCGAACCCGGAAAAAAGCGTTTGAAAAAATACCACCCGCGAATCACCTTTTTTGTGGGTCACCCGTCGGGTACCTGCGGGTACCCGACCCGATGCAGGACTCTGGTGTGCTGTGCCAGAGGAGCAGAGAGGCAACCAATCTTCCAGTGCAGATGAGGCAAATGATAACCCTTTTGTTGCTTTCCCTGGAGACCTAAGCACAGGTGATGAGGAGGGTGAAGTCTCATTGCTTCCAAGTTTGAAGGGCCAGTTTGTGACCGCCCAGATGGAAGACCCCAATCTGAAATAGAGGGAAAACCAGTTCCAGGAGTAGGTGAGCTTACATGTCCTCATTTCCTAATAAAAAATAATCTGTTATACTATGCCAAAGAGGTTGAAGGTCAGCGAAGAGACTTGTTGGTTGTCCCAAAACAATATGTGTCCACAGTGTTGCATCTGGCTCACAGCCATGTCCTAGGGGCCCACCTAGGGGTTGAGAAGACAAGGCAGCTAATTGGGAGCCGGTTCCACTGGCCAGGGGTGGTAAGAGCTATAGAGCAGGGGTTTTCAAAGTGTGGCATCTGGCATCGTGGCAAGGTCCCTATGAAGTGGCAGAGAAGGTGGGACAAGGTACGCCAACCTGGCCGTCACAAACCATCCCAAATATACCATGTTAACCTGTTAAAGAAATGGTACGCCCGAGAGGCACTGCTGTGTTGTTCTTCCCCGGTTGTGTCCCCCTCTTCTCCAGACAATGAGGTGGCCGAAGTTGAATACGGTCCAGGGCTATCCAAAGCTCAGTTACAGCAAACCAAGGAACTGGTTCAGCAGAGTTTGGATGTGTTCTCACTACGACCTGGAAGCACAACGATGGTGGAACATCAAATCCACACAGAGCCGGGCCAAAAGGTAAAGATGCGGCCCTATCGGGTGCCGGAGGCAAGACAGGCGGCCATTGAGCAAGAAGTGCAGCAAATGCTGGCTATGGGGGTGATTGAAGAATCTCACAGTGAGTGGACCAGCCCTGTCGTTCTGGTTCCTAAGCCAGACAACACCAACAGGTTCTGTAATGATTTCAGAAAATTGAATGAAATCTCCAAGTTTGATGCGTATCCTAGGCCCAGGATAGATGAGCTAATTGATCGGCTTGGGGAAGCCAGTTATATCAGCGTGCTGCTTCCCCTCCTCGGCTCCTCCACTCGCATCTCCTGTGGGCGGGACTAAGACACGAGGATAGGAGTCGAGGAGGGGAATCTCAGAAATTAGATACGGCCAGTATGTCTGCTTGTGTGTGTTTGTGTGTGTCCCTCCCCCTCTCCCCTGATTGTCTCCCTTCAGGTGCACCTCTCCCACGGGTGATCCCAATTCCCTAATCAAGGCCTGCATAAAAGGCATGAGGAGGGCTGCAGTCTCCCTCTTCCCCCTCCACACGGCCCTGCTTTTGCATGCCCAAGTTTCTGCTGTTTCTTTGTCGAATAATAATACAATCTTTGGTTCACTCTAACTCTGCACTTTGCTCTTCTTTTTGTTGCAGCTTTCGAGCCAGTCGTAACAGAAGTTTAAAGAGAGACATAACATTTGGTTACTATTCTGGTTGAGGCTTAGGACACGCTGGATGATAATCAGAGGGATTTACATTGGTATTGCTGGACCTGACACAGAAAACTATTCGTAATGAGGTGAGTTCCTTCATTCAAGAACATCCTGGAAGTGCCCCCCGTTAAAGGGTTCAAAGTGTTCACTTACTTCCACCTCCTTCCATGGATACAGCGGGTACTGGTTGTCAAACATGGGGATGAACTCATCGTAGTGCACCTAGAAACAGAGAGATGGTTATTGGTCTTACAGACATAACAAAATGTAACAAATTCATGAAAACTGATTCAAGCTTTTTTAGTTTTCATTTCATATTCATTCAACAGAGTACAATAGACCTCTGTTGTGTAACTCCCTCTCTCAGATCACTGATCACCCACAGTCTGGTCACATGGCACCTTGAGACTGATCCTCTTCCTGAGTGCTGAGATCTACAGTACTGTCTCTTGATATGTAAGGCTTACAGAATATTATTATTGTAATGTTATATAACATCACAGCATTCAATTCTCTGATAATCATAATTGCCATAACATTAGTCACAAGGTGCCCCTACTTCATATAATCAGCCTGGTTGAGCCCTCTCTTCAGTTTGAGTTGTTGCACTCGTCTGTGGAGACATTGCTTTCTGTGTGCTTCTTTTGCAGAACCCTTTGACTAGTTAATTTCAAGAATTACCGCCACACAGTTCTGACACGAAAAAGCTTCAGCAAGCCTATGATCTTGCGACCACAGACTAATTCTACAAATAAATAGTGCAAGGATGAATAACCAGGAAAGGCAATTTTTTTAATGAACCTGCTTAAGCTGCACCCCCTCCGCATAGTTCATGACGGTGAAGTGTTTTTGGTAATCATCAAAAGTGTCCAAGGAGAAAGGTCTGGATGGGAGAGAGAAATATCAGATTCATGTATGAGAAAAAGTTCACTCTGCATGTTGACCAACACATAAGAATAAGGTAAAGTCAAGTGTAACCTCTTGAATTTCTTGAGTCTTCTTGACACTTGTATTGTTTAAATACACACAATCAGCAGGAGTCAAAAGACAGCATGTTGGTCAGTCTAGCACTTGAGTTCAAATTAAAATAGAGCCCTACCTCTTGGATGGATTACCATGAATTCTGATATAGCTGTTCATGGTTACCGGAGAACTTATCTTTATGAATTTGGCAATCAACTTATCTTCTAGTAGCGCCATTAAGTCAATTTCAGTTTACACAATACGTTGTTTCTATCTAATGGTTTTGTTTTCTTCACAATGAGCATTACAGCCTCAAGGTTCAACCCCCAATGCCAATATTGTGTGTCATGACTCCTAAAGTGTTTTTTTACATTTGAATCTCATAGCAAAAGGAAATTCCTCCATTTTGAGAATCTAGTCACAGATACAGTAGATATTTGTACAAAAAGAGAGATTTACAATAATAAAAAAGGGATTTTTATAGCACTATTGTGATGTCTAGTCTTTGCAACAGCTAAAAGTGCTTTTACAGCTCAAGACGTGTCTGCTTATCAGGAGCGAAAAACATTCACTCACACAATTTGGGTTTAAGTATCTTGCCCAAGGACACTGACATGTTGACGGGGGTATAGTCTAGCAGGAAGGGCCCTCAGATTTTGAGATACCCCTACCCGAGGTAGAACAAATGACAACAATGATTTTTCTTATCTTTAGGGTCTCCCATTAATGAAATTGATTGTTGTAACATTTTATTTCAGGGGAAAAATTGTTTTTTTTTTGTTCTTTAGAACTACCCCAATCCCTGAAAAAGAGCCGTTTGTGACCCTGAACAGAGCTGTTTCAGTGCTGTGGGCGGAACGGAAACCGGACTGGAATTTCTCAAAGAGGCCGTTTAGTTGGAGATGGTCCTGAAGCTGGGCGACAACTACATGTCTAACTGTCTACCAGCATGTCATGCACTTACTGGCTGTGGCACAACAAGTAGTTTGTACAGAATAGGAAAGACAACAGCATTCACCAAACTCAAGACCCATCTCAGCGAGCTCAACGATCTGGCCCATTTTGGACTCTCTGCCAGCTTGGAAGAGTCTTTGCCAGTCGCAAGAGAATTTGCACTTCTGCTATATAAAAAAAAGGAAATTGGACTGATGTGCACAAACTTAACCTAAATTACTAGATACGAACCATGGAGGATTAAAATATAACGCATGCATTTCAGCGTGTCACATTAACTATCGCGGGCCGCCAGAAACATTTCCCAGGGCCGCCATTGGTCCGTGGGCCGCACTTTGAGAGCCCCTGTTTTAGAGGCTTGCAATTTAGAACTAATACACTTTATTGTTTTGGGTTACTCTTATTCTGACTATTTGGTGACTGACTATACCAGCCACCTGGTATTTCCCTCTCCAAATATAATGACCATCACAGTGAGCATTCTTAACTTATAGGCTATTGTGCCACTTATCCCCCATTCGGAATTTGACTATCAGAAATGTATAAAGAAATCTCATTTGCAATAGAACTGTACCAGATATTTCCATACAACTACTGGTTAGTGTTCAATAGCACCCTAGACCAGTGTTTTTCAAAGTGGGTGCCCCGACCCCCCGGGGGGCACAAGGGGGGTCACGCAAAGTTTGAGGGAAAGGGGAATATTTTTTTTTTTTAAAGTTACATCTTTTTTTCTTTATTAATAATTGCATATCTATCAATCTATGTCTCCTTTGATGCCAATCTTTTAATATTTTTAACTTATTCATATATATATTTATTTTTTCAATCACACGACCGCCCTTCAAGCCAATCAGAATTGAACTGCCGCTACTGAGAGTGAAACTGAGTATCTGCTCAGCTTTTGGAGCAAGTGAGAGCTAGTGAATATTTCGCTCTGCAGCTGGATGAGAGCATGGATGTAGCAAATATTGATGTTTATATATATGAATATAAATATGTTGTTAATATTACTGTTGAATATTATATATAATATTATTAAGGCATAAGTAGCTTTCAAAAATGCTAAAAATATATGTTAATTGTTCATATTACTGTTCAAAAATTATATAATATTATAAAGACAGAAATCACTTTAAAAATGCTTTAAAAATATGTTTACTGTTGATATTACTGTTTAATATTGTGTTAAGAATGTTTATAACAGAACACACAATGAATGTAATGAATGACAAACCAAAGATAAATACAAAAAATGTTTGGAAGAATAACTGATTATTAATTATTAATACAAATATATATTAAGAAAATGTATTAAGCTGTATGATTAATTTTAAACATAATGTACTCATCATTTAAGAAAGAAATTGCAACAGGGGGGTCGCCGCCAGACGATAATGCTATATGGGGGTCCTTGGCATGGCAAAGTTTGGGAACCCCTGCCCTAGACAATTCAGTAATGGTATATTTTTTTAGGGATTTCTGTTTTTCTGATAAATGAGAAAAAAGTGATTGAGTCCTATGTTCCTATCACCAAAAAGTACAATTTCCGTCTAAACTAAAGCTAAGTTTACAGGACTATAATTCAGTATTTTCTTAGTTAAATAATTGTCTGACTATTTGGCGATGTGACAGCCACCTGGTTCATACCTCAGCAAATCTGAAGAGGAAAAGAGTGATCATTCTCAAGTTATGGGCTTTTTTGTCACCTTTCCCATATTCGGCCTGGTCTAATTTGGCTCTTTTTCAGGGATTGGGGTAGTTCTAAAGAACAACCAAAAAAACATTTTTTCCCCAAAATAAAATTTCACAACAATCAATTTCATTAATGGGAGACCCTAAAGATAAGAAAAATCATTGTTGTCATTTGTTCTACCTCGGGTAGGGGTATCTCGAAAACTAAAGCCTTTTTTGAGGACTTGCTGCTGGACTAGTAGCCCACTTAACCTCCTGAGCCGCAGAAGCCACCAATGTATTGACAAATGCATGCATGCATGCATGCATGCATGCATGCATTGCATGCTGTACCTATTAGCAAAGCGCAACCAGAAGACGTTGTAGGCGTAGAGACGCAGAGGCTGCACAGAGTGCAACATCAGCATGTAGCGAATGTCAAACTTCACCATTCCCACCTCCTCTCTGTTGAACAGCACTGGGTCTTCAATGTACTTACACACCACCTGGAAAACACAGACACAGCAAAACACACAGTTAGAGGCTACTAAATAATAAAATGTAAGATTAATATAAATGCTTCCTTCGTATGTGCGCAATAACTGTTTCCATTACTTTAACTAAGACAAATGTTTTGACATTGTATTGAGTAAAATAAATAGCGGAATGTTCTTATGGAGTGATTTGTTACAACCCATGGCATTTCTCTGTTGCAACAGCTCACTTTGAGCTCCTGCATCAGCAGCACATGTGGCGCAACAACACAGGAAACATCAGAAGCTGAGCTCCAAAAACAGGAAGCACAGCTTGCATGTCACTTTTAGTTTTCAAGTTTTTTTACCCAATATGGGGTATACATCCTGTTTAAGGCAGCATATAAGAGATGCGAGACGATCACTCGAGTCCGACTGAACTTCGGCTTCGGCTGCACAGCTGACAGATGCCAACTTACCAAGGCAATTTCTTTCCAATAATTAAACCTAGTAACTGAGTATGCCGTGTGTATGTAAACCCAACCCTTGCCAACCATAACTCTCAATAAATAAAAAACACCTAAGAACTTCAACCCTAGCATCTGTCTCCTTTTTATTTTTTTACCCCACTGGGACACTTGGCCAAAGGAACTTCAACAAAATAAGTAACACAAGCCGGTCGCTCCTCACGTTACAAGCAAATTATAGTATAGAATGCCACACAATGACCTAAAAAGTGAAGTCTGTTGGGAAGAAATGCTGCGACTAGCAAGCGGGAAAATAAGCTAACACTCTTAAGCCGCATTTCGACCACAGGTTTTAGCGCGGCTCGCCATAGCTCGGTTCACCTTTGCTCGGTTCGGCTCACTCTAAGCTGCGTTTCCATTACAGTTAGTAACAAGGGTAGTAACTATAGTAACCACGCAGTGCAGGCATGTTTTCCTAAAGGTGAACCGAGCCATGGCGAGCTGCGCTAAAACCTGTAGTCGAAATGCGGCTTTAGTGTCACATTGGGTGCATCCACCAATTAAGGTAACTTTCCAAAACCTATAATCCTGTCCCTCATTAACACCTCACTTCACTGCATTCAACGCAGTAGGGGAACTTAGAAAAAAAATAACGTTTGAGTCTGGTCTGTAAAATGTTGCTTTTTTCTGTCCGATTAATGTACAAGGTCTCCTTAAGCAAGCTGGCTTCATGGCGTCTGTTTCTCAGCGAGTGTACCTTTGGTGTACTCTCTCTTTGTCTGATAATGTAGTCCAGGTTGTTGGTGATGTGCATGTCCAGTCCACGGGCCAAATTCCAGGGCTTACAGATCCAATGATTATCATTCCCCCTGAAACACATGCCAAAACATCAACGTTGTACTTTAGTGCTCATGGATCAACAACATCAGTGTTGGGAAAATACTGAATATACTCTTTAATATCAGAGTAGCACATGATAACAAAGGCCTAACTGTAACTGTGTACGTAACCGGATGTATGATTACATAGATGAAGCTCATGAGACACTGTTGTGAACCTACGATAGCTAGGTTCCAACGATTATCATGATAATTCAGCCCCTAGGGCAGTGACCATCAACTGGCGGCCCGCGGGCCAAATCTGGCACGCCAGACATTCTCATCCGGCATGCGCTGTGGCGAAGTGCTTAGTGCGTTAACCCCAGTAGCCCCAGAGCCAAGCATAGAATACCGCTTTGAACCGGTATCCATGTATCTTGTGACTGTGTAACTCCCTCTCTTATAAGCATGTGAAGGACACAGGAACTATTGGTACCATATGCTCTGTATGTGATGACTTCTTCCATTCTTGCAAGGATAATAAATACATGCATCCAGTTATTGAAGCTCAAGCCGGTGACATGTGATATTTTTCTAACAATCAGCTACATATTTTGGAAGACTTTGCAACATTCCCACCTCTGTTGTCTCTGTTTATAATGCTTGATGAATTGCGGCAGCTCTGAGTGGAGGTTAAAGGTCTCTGGGAGCCAATCAGGTTGTTGGCCGCATTTCGCCCTTCGAGCCACGGCAGCCATGCAGTCCTTCACCGTGATGATGCTCTCACAGGGAAACTGGTTCAGCATCACATGAGGTCGTTCCTCGCTCAGCTTCCTGTCAGAGAAGATGTAAGGACAATCGTATCAACAAGAACCATGATGTGGACTTCACACAATTGTGCTTGATATTAAATAATGACATGCTATTTACGGACTTTAGCCTTTTGTTTCAAATACTTTATCCACTCCCATGGGCTAAAGAGGAGGAACCTTACCCTACGTTCACATTACACTGTCTTTTAAAAGGCCCTTTTTGTGTAGTATTTCGAGGTTGTTTTTGTATATACTTAAAACACCTGAACAACATAAATAAATAGCGTAATGTCTTTATCTATTATCTGTCTTAGTCTGTGTTGGTGGTCATGTGTTTAACGTTTTTTTTTAATTAATAATTTTTGCTATCCTGCTGTTAAGATTGTATAAAATAACCTTTGGCAGATTGAATGTACTGGTCATGTGTTGGACTGAGTTTAGAATTGTTCCGCGTATAACAAGGTTAAAGTGTCAGCAAACATTGATGAAGTGTCATGTACATTTTGTTTTTTTGTGATTGCATTAACGTTTTTTTCTAAATATTAACCTTTTACTGTTGCGACCCATTCTCAGATCCTGGAAGTCTTTCTTAATTCTTTGAGACACGAGGTGCTCTGTTGTTTAGGAAGGATTTATGACAACACGAATAGAAGGGGGAGAGAAACAAATGGACTTCTACTGGTGAAAAGTCCTTACATGCTATGTTTTTTTGTTTATTGCATTTGCCCAAGATGGTTGTGTGTGCCCTATCCTTGTCTGGATGTAACCCTTTCAAAAACTGTGCCTAACTGACTTATTACTTCCCCTCGTAAATCATTTACATCCCCATAAGTGAATGTTTTTTTTAAATTGATACTGTTTGACATCATAGCGCTGTTATTTAAATTTCTCTGGTATTACATTGGTGACGTTAGCATAACCACTGAAGCTAGTCTGACTACTTATTACAATCCTATTGTGGCAGATAATAGGACATTTTTTACCACCGTACTTTTCTGTGGATTGTTAATGGTCCTAGTCTGACATGAAAACGTGTTTATCATGTATTGATTACACCCGATAGCTATAATAAAATCTGCTCCAGAAGTTAAGTTTTAACTATAGTTGACTTACAATGGTTATTTTTTTCCCCTTTCAAGGTGATGACATTGGTTAATACCAATAATTTGGATTGTTTTTCTAACACAGCTTCATACCACAAGGTATGAGATGTTCAAGGTTACTGTCTGGGACTGGTGTGGAGGAGTTCAGTTTTAATGTTGATAAAGTGCTTTACTATCTCACACTGCCTGTGCTGCAGCACCTCTTTCCGGGGGGGGAGGGTGGGAAAAAGTGCCTCTTGGCAAACAACTATCCCCAAGAAATACCAAGACTATACAAACAGCATGTTCTTGAGCTGTTATGTGTGGGAACCTTTCTGTGCCTAAATCATAAAAAGGCATTTACTAAAGGCCTCAAACAATGCAGATATTGGATTATATATCTGATAAATCTCCTTTTAACGCATATAATCAACCTAATTTCCAACAACATATCTTGTGTCTGAGCTCCACTGAAAGCATGCTGTGTGTTGCTTTGTTGCTCACCTGTAGTCTTTGATGTGAGTATATCCCCAAATGATGTCCGCCTCTTCCTTGTCCTCAGTGAGCTGGAACCGCTGGTGTGTCAGGTTGTTTGTTACTTGGGACAGGTCGGAGTAAACCCTGAAACAGAGCATGGTAAATTATAGAAAGAAGGGTCAAGGGTGAACAAAAGTGTTCAGGTCAAACTGTCTACATTCTCTAAAGTGAATGAGGTATACAGCTCACCTTACAGGCTGAGGCTTTCTTGTTTTATAGTCCTTCTACAAATAAAACCGTAATTCATAAGCAGTAAAAGGCATCCTTGCTGGAAGGATTAATTTTAGTGCTTAAAAATTCCTCAGTGTATTAACATTTGCGAAGTCAGCCACACTTAATCTGGACACCCTCTTCGATGTTAACTAACGCATCGCAGTGAAGCTGTTGTTGCTTAAAAACGAGACCACATTACACTTGAATGAAGATGCTATCTTAATACGATTAATTGTGCAGCTCTTTTCTTCTTGCACCTGCATTTTAAAGTAATATTCTTAAGCTGTAGCTCAATATGTAAAGCGACATTACAGGGTTTTGAATCCCTCTAGCACAGGGGTCTCCAACCTTTCTTCATCTGAGAGCTACTTTGAAAAAATGAAAGTGGCTCCCTTTCGGACACATACTGTATGATTTATTATTATTATTAATATGAAGATATTATTAAGATAAGATAAGATAAGATGTTACTTTATTGCTTGAACATTTTAGTTTAGAATGTGCTGTCCCACGGTAATTCAGAAGGCTCACAGGTCACATTCCGACCATTATTTAAAACAATAGGTGCTTTCACACCGTCTACAGTTTGATTTGTATAGAGGGAGCTCTGTGGCTGAATGGCCAGCGATTAGGTGTGGCGCATTTATCCTAGGTGATCAGAGCTGCCTGCCGTCAGATTTCATTTAAAAAACAGGTCTGATTTTAAGACTATTTCTGCGCTCATAAAGAATGATAAGAATAAGAATAATGCGTATTGAACTGGTTTCATTAATTAGTGAGTTTATTTAACACTAGAACCGCCAATCGGGTGTGTTGTGTGTGTGCAATGTAACTTTTTTTCAATAAAATATTAAAGTCTCCCAGTCCGTGACTTTTCCTGAAAGTGTGTTATGTAGCACCCTATGTTGTTAAAAATTGCATTCTAATAGCGGGATTTTACGGTTTTAGGTAGGCCTATACAAAAACCTCTGGCGGTTCTAGTGATTAATTAATTAGTAATTAGGTACAGTAGAAGCCCTTTTTTATCAGTAACGAATTTAGCAGTTGAACATAAAAGTAAACTAACTGAGGGTCACTTGCAATGACAGTGTTGTGTCTAACTGTAAGCTTGTCACTCAGAGTAACCTACAGTTCATTTAGCTGCTGGAGAAGAAAGATCAGGGGGGAGGGGGGAGAGAGCTGTGGTTGATGGGCCATTAGTTGTGTAAATACACAACTGAGAGCTGCAGTTTCATTCAGACTGTTTAAAAAACGGTAACAGACTATTTTTCTTAGCGGATGCATGTCAATTTAAATCAATACATACAACTATTTTTTAAATCAATAAAAACATTTTCTAAATCCATAAAAGCATTTCAATTAATATTGGGAGTCATGTCGTTACTTTGTTGAGAATGTGGCCATGTAATAAGCGGGATAATTTGCAGCGACTTGTTCCTTATGGGGGAAAATAACACCCTTCAGCTGATCAAGATCCCTCCGCTACGCGTTGGGATCCTGATCTGCCGACGAGGCTCCATTAAAATATAAATATGTTTAGTGAATTACTGAGTTTAGGCACGTTAATAACGTTTTAATGAAGTTGAATACAGTATATTCATATTTGTCAGTGATTTCATGTCAATTGTGTGTGTGTGTGTGTGTGTGTGTGTGTGTGTGTGTGTGTGTGTGTAGAGGTGTGTGTGGTTAAAACACTTTCATGAAGTGAAGGAGGTTTTCCTTCTATAAAACAGCTGTGGGCAGCAGTGAGTGTCACGGACATGAATTCATAGATCGAGGCAGACTGGTGCACACACTCTACTGTCCTGCCAACACTGGCAGGACAGTAGGCGACACGCCCGTTCTAAGCCGTGTCCCTCACTCCTCACATCCCAAGCTGCATCCCCAAAGGTGTATTATGTTGTTACATCGTTTCAGATGTCATGTTTCAGTTGTGCTCTGTTTATGTTAAAAAGCCTCAGTCACCTTAATTCATGTAATAAAAACATCTCAGGTCAGTAACACTCAAAGCTAAATGTGCAATACCATGTTCAGCTATGTTACTATTTATAATGTTATTACATCAGAAGATGTACATATTGGAATGATTTCTTAACTTACAGTAGGCTATTTTTTACAATGTGTGTTGGAAGGATTTATTAAATTACTATGAATATTGTCATTGTTGAAGGCTTTTAGAGAAGGGTGAATTATAAGCCTGAATTATATAACATTTTATACCTAAAAACATAAAAGCCACAATAACTAAATCTTGTCACTCAGAGTAACCTACAGTTCATTTAGCTGCTGGAGAAGAAAGCTGCTGGAGAAGAAAGATCAGGGGGAGGGGGGGAGAGATCTGTGGTTGATGGGCCATTAGGTGTGTAAACACACAGCTGCCGTTTCATTCAGACTGTTTAAAAAACGGTAACAGACTATTTTTCTTAGCGGATGCATGTCAATTTAAATCAATACATACAACTATTTTTTAAATCAATAAAAACATTTTCTAAATCCATAAAAGCATTTCAATTAATATTGGGAGTCATGTCGTTACTTTGTTGAGAATGTGGCCATGTAATAAGCGGGATAATTTGCAGCGACTTGTTCCTTATGGGGGAAAATAACACCCTTCAGCTGATCAAGATCCCTCCGCTACGCGTTGGGATCCTGATCTGCCGACGAGGCTCCATTAAAATATAAATATGTTTAGTGAATTACTGAGTTTAGGCACGTTAATAACGTTTTAATGAAGTTGAATACAGTATATTCATATTTGTCAGTGATTTCATGTCAATTGTGTGTGTGTGTGTGTGTGTGTGTGTGTGTGTGTGTGTGTGTGTGTGTGTGTGTGTGTGTGTGTAGAGGTGTGTGTGGTTAAAACACTTTCATGAAGTGAAGGAGGTTTTCCTTCTATAAAACAGCTGTGGGCAGCAGTGAGTGTCACGGACATGAATTCATAGATCGAGGCAGACTGGTGCACACACTCTACTGTCCTGCCAACACTGGCAGGACAGTAGGCGACACGCCCGTTCTAAGCCGTGTCCCTCACTCCTCACATCCCAAGCTGCATCCCCAAAGGTGTATTATGTTGTTACATCGTTTCAGATGTCATGTTTCAGTTGTGCTCTGTTTATGTTAAAAAGCCTCAGTCACCTTAATTCATGTAATAAAAAACATCTCAGGTCAGTAACACTCAAAGCTAAATGTGCAATACCATGTTCAGCTATGTTACTATTTATAATGTTATTACATCAGAAGATGTACATATTGGAATGATTTCTTAACTTACAGTAGGCTATTTTTTACAATGTGTGTTGGAAGGATTTATTAAATTACTATGAATATTGTCATTGTTGAAGGCTTTTAGAGAAGGGTGAATTATAAGCCTGAATTATATAACATTTTATACCTAAAAACATAAAAGCCACAATAACTAAATCTTGTCACTCAGAGTAACCTACAGTTCATTTAGCTGCTGGAGAAGAAAGCTGCTGGAGAAGAAAGATCAGGGGGAGGGGGGGAGAGATCTGTGGTTGATGGGCCATTAGGTGTGTAAACACACAGCTGCCGTTTCATTCAGACTGTTTAAAAAACGGTAACAGACTATTTTTCTTAGCGGATGCATGTCAATTTAAATCAATACAACTATTTTTTAAATCAATAAAAACATTTTCTAAATCCATAAAAGCATTTCAATTAATATTGGGAGTCATGTCGTTACTTTGTTGAGAATGTGGCCATGTAATAAGCGGGATAATTTGCAGCGACTTGTTCCTTATGGGGAAAATAACACCCTTCAGCTGATCAAGATCCCTCCGCCACGCGTTGGGATCCTGATCTGCCGACGAGGCTCCATTAAAATATAAATATGTTTAGTGAATTACTGAGTTTAGGCACGTTAATAACGTTTTAATGAAGTTGAATACAGTATATTCATATTTGTCAGTGATTTCATGTCAATTGTGTGTGTGTGTGTGTGTGTGTGTGTGTGTGTGTGTGTGGTTAAAACACTTTCATGAAGTGAAGGAGGTTTTCCTTCTATAAAACAGCTGTGGGCAGCAGTGAGTGTCACGGACATGAATTCATAGATCGAGGCAGACTGGTGCACACACTCTCCTGTCCTGCCAACACTGGCAGGACAGTAGGCGACACGCCCGTTCTAAGCCGTGTCCCTCACTCCTCACATCCCAAGCTGCATCCCCAAAGGTGTATTATGTTGTTACATCGTTTCAGATGTCATGTTTCAGTTGTGCTCTGTTTATGTTAAAAAGCCTCAGTCACCTTAATTCATGTAATAAAAACATCTCAGGTCAGTAACACTCAAAGCTAAATGTGCAATACCATGTTCAGCTATGTTACTATTTATAATGTTATTACATCAGAAGATGTACATATTGGAATGATTTCTTAACTTACAGTAGGCTATTTTTTACAATGTGTGTTGGAAGGATTTATTAAATTACTATGAATATTGTCATTGTTGAAGGCTTTTAGAGAAGGGTGAATTATAAGCCTGAATTATATAACATTTTATACCTAAAAACATAAAAGCCACAATAACTAAATCTTGTCACTCAGAGTAACCTACAGTTCATTTAGCTGCTGGAGAAGAAAGCTGCTGGAGAAGAAAGATCAGGGGGAGGGGGGGAGAGATCTGTGGTTGATGGGCCATTAGGTGTGTAAACACACAGCTGCCGTTTCATTCAAACTGTTTAAAAAACGGTAACAGACTATTTTTCTTAGCGGATGCATGTCAATTTAAATCAATACATACAACTATTTTTTATATCAATAAAAACATTTTCTAAATCCATAAAAGCATTTCAATTAATATTGGGAGTCATGTCGTTACTTTGTTGAGAATGTGGCCATGTAATAAGCGGGATAATTTGCAGCGACTTGTTCCTTATGGGGGAAATAACACCCTTCAGCTGATCAAGATCCCTCCGCTACGCGTTGGGATCCTGATCTGCCGACGAGGCTCCATTAAAATATAAATATGTTTAGTGAATTACTGAGTTTAGGCACGTTAATAACGTTTTAACGAAGTCGAATACAGTATATTCATATTTGTCAGTGATTTCATGTCAATTCGGCGAACATAAACATAAATCATCGTGGTGAAGATGATGATTAAATTAGGATTAAAAATCGAGAGCCGAGCTGCATTTCCTCTCGTTCGTTTTTTTCGACTAAACAACATTATTTTAATTCACATAAATGTCCTTAATCACCACCTGACAAGCATCTTATGCACAAATAAGTGCATTCACTCTTTTTTTACAGTTAGTGAGATGAATGGCACTGCATGGAGTCCACCATAGAGGTGAATGCTGGAGTGTACCCACTTAGGTTCACTATAGAGTCATTTAAATGTTGATCAGTCAGTCTTGTTCTGTATTTAGATTTCATGACATTCATGCCAGAAAAAGCTGCTTCACAAAGGTTTGTAGAACAGAACCAAATAAAGCAGACGTGTTCAGTGCTGCTTGGTGAATGTTCTTATAGTTTTCTGGGTCTACAAGGCTCCAGAAATGTTGTGAGTTTTGCTGAGACTTAAGCTTAACATGATTTTGGAGATGTATAACCTCCATCTTCACAGGATTGACACTGAACAGTTCAGCCATCTTTTTCATCTTCTTCTTTGTCTTGACATGAAATTATAAACCATAATAAATCAATTGTATAGGTCTAGCCTCCCTATATCTGTGTGTGAAATTGTTCCATCCTCAAAAACAAAAAACTAATACTTCTGCAGTCTAGCTGCAGCTTCTAGCTACGGTCTTCTGTCAAAAAAAAAAAGGATACTGAATGTCCTGAATGTGGCATCACACACATGACATGAGTCTGAACACAGCAGACAACAGCATTATAAAAACAAAAATACTGCATGGGTGCACACTCACATTCTCTGTCTTACTGTTACATTAATCCCATGAATGTATGAGATTACATTAGCTTCATTATATCTCAGTGATTAAGTGAATAATAAAGTTTCTATCGGGTCACTGTCAGCCTGTCACTCATTATTTTCAGGGAGGGGGCGGGGTTTGGAGGAACGGAGAGGAGACGGTGATCGCGGAAGCTTTCCTCCTGCCTTCACAAACTTTACACAAGTATTTATCAACTGAAAATAGCAAGAGGACATTCATACTCTGCAATCCAAGACTTGATTAAATCCACCAAAAACCTGACATGACGATAACGAGTGTTTTTCAAAAAACACAAATCCCTCCCTGTCTCTGAGCCGCAGCGACACGGGCCTGATTCAGAGCGGGTCATTCTGCTGTTGGTTCTGGACTGGTGTTGCTGGAGCTGGAGAAAGCAGACTGGTCCGTGTGTGGTGTCGCTGTGCCGCTGTCACGTCTGTTCCTTGATCACTGCGTCACAGACCAATTTGATATTCGTGTGACAGAAACAATTCTAAAATGAAAAAAACGTTATTGTCCAGCCGCGGCCGAAAAATCAAGGAGAAACCTTACTACGCTATAATCGATAATCGAGCGGCGAGCTACTGAAAAGCTGCCCGCGAGCTACCGGTAGCTCGCGATCGACGTGTTGGAGAGCCCTGCTCTAGCACCATCATTTTAAAAAAACGCTAAATATCTTTGCAGATCAAAAGGGGGCAGGATCGAGGTTAGGTGCCTTGCTCAAGGGCACCTCGGCAGTGGCCTCTGGGGTGAAATAGCACCTTTCCAGCTACCAGCTTCGATCGGGAAGTGAACCGGCGACCCTTTCAAAGTTCAAGGCTTTTATTAGTCATACGTATATAGCTACAGTGTAGTTATGACAATGAAAATCTTAGGTCACAGACTCCTCCAACAGTGCAACACAATCAAACAGAAAAAATAGTGCATGTAAATACAAAAAGAAAAATAGTGAAATAGTGCAATAAGAGTCTATATACAAGTGATTGGAATATGATATATTAGATACATCATTTCTAAGTTGCAGCCAGATGAATGTTATGGATGTTGTTTCAAAAGTTCAGGTGTTTAACAGTCTTATGGCCTGCAGTATGAAACTGTCCCTGAGTCTGGTGGTTTTAGTCCGGATGCTGCGGTACCGCCTGCCAGACGGCAGCCCATTTGAGAAACACCTCTGAAGTGCTGACGGCCGTAGACAGTTCATTTAAGATTCAGCGACAACTCAATGTTTTTGCAATTTTACCTCAAATGTTTTCATATTTTTCCACCTCAATATTCAAAAACATTAAGAAGACTGGCTCTGCCATAAGCTCCACACTGGAAACGTATCAAGTTGTGGGGGAGAGGTGAAGAATGAGCACACTGTTAAATAGATAATCCTGACCTCCCCCACTAGCTACTGCAGACAGCTGCGCTATGTCTCTGTCCCATTTCAATGCTGGCCTTGGGGAGTGCTATCTGGTGCAATTTGATTGGGATGTGGGTCAAAATTAAAGGATATAATATAAAGTTATGCCATCCAAGTTTATTATCTTAGTTTTGATGTTTACATTCAAGGTCGGAGACGGTGAATATTTCCTGCAACACCTCCCCTTGTGCTAGCATAGAATTCAGCTTCTTAAAATGTGTTTTATTTTTAAACTAGATTCCACCGTTTTTCTCTTAATAACACAATATTATGTGCTAAAACTCTAACTCATTGCATTTTAACGACTTTGCACACTTGTTTAGTGTTTATAATATCCTCAGTTTTTAGATAGATATTTCTTAAGGTATTTTTAGTAGTAGATTTCTCTATTATAGTGTATTTTAACATGTTTCGTGTATTTTATTCAAGATATTCCAAAGATATACATGTTCCTGCTGTTGATATGTAAATATGTACTTGCTATTAACTCATGTGCAATGTCTTTTTAACATGCTGCTATAATAAAAGTATTTCCAAGTTTGGGATCAATAGAGAGTTTCTAACAATCTCTCTATTGTTGATCTGAGAGACTTACTTGAGAGTTTTGTCCTCAGGCACAGTGTAGGGTTGGATCTCCACAGGAAGCTGCTCCTTGTTCTCCAATGCAATGTTCTGGAGAAACAGAAACAGAGGACTTTAATGACCTAAAATGTCTTGGATGAATAAGACTGTATCCTTGTGGGAATGAGGTGTGACCCTTTGCTTTAAAAAGGGATTTTTCTACTACATACTGCTAGATGTCGGACGAAGATGTGTCAGAAGCAGGGATACGGTTTTTGGCTGTAATCCCATTTTTTGAACAGCGTAGAATAATAGAAATAATATGTATGTGAGCAAAAATATACATTTTTCTGCGTAGAAAAAAGTTAAGGGGTACGAGAGAAAACCGTGTATTCCTGTAAATAAACGTTTATTTTGAGAATACAATATAACTCTGATAGATAGTCTGTGTAAGACTAAAGTCAAACCGAGGAAGAGAACAACAATGGAGTTGTGTAGGAGTCAATTAATCATGGAACTGGAATGCAGTTAATGACTTGGAAAGACTGGGGGTGAAACAAGAGTGCAGTAAAAAAAGAATGGTCATAATTTATAGGTGCTTTTAAGCAGAGGGAAAAAAAACAAGGTCAATGTCCTGTTAATATTATAATACTCTTAAAATGACGATATAATATGTCTTGAAAAGCTAATAGATAGAAAGCATTGCTTGTATCAATTCATTTGTGTTGTGTTTTAAATAAATCTTTTACATAAAAAGGTGTTGAGTGCCTCACCTCATAGTACGAGTCTGGGGGCTCAGACGTGACACTTATGACCCCTTCTAGATCAGCTGTTACCCATGGTAACAGACGGCATCGCCTGACCAGGGGGTCCGTTTCTCCATATGTATAGTCACGGGTTACTTCATCTGTAGAAATAAGATTTGTTTGACACAAAACTTTGAGAAGTGAGGGGGACACAAAACAGGCGGTTCGCAATGGAAATTTGTTCTCGAGTTCCTGCCTTTCTAATAAAACATTTGTTAGTGTGATGGAAACTTCTGTGCAGCAATGCAGAGCCAAGGCTCAGGAAAGGATGGAAGCTGGAGCGTCTTTAGTCAAACACTGATATTTATTGAGAGTAGAAATACGGCCGGAGAGATCACAAAGTATATCACACTTTCATGTGAGCCACCTAGCAACGCTCTGAAGACAAAGCGTAGAAACATAGATCTATATCCTTAAAGGAGGGACCTAAAAAGCCCGCCTTTCCTACCTTAATCATTACTAGACATTGGAACAAAGACCCGTTGTGCCAAACTTCTCACCCACAGGAAGGCAGATGACCTCTTGACCTGTGTCCTCCTCACATTACAGGCAAGAGCCTATGCGACTTAACGAAAAGCATATGTTTGTCTTTTAACAGTTTCTCAGAAAAGCTGAGAAACTCAAGACACAAAGAGATCGGATTAAAATATTCTCTGACAGTTAGGACTATGGTGCAATCCAAGACAAATGTGACCCGCTCTATCGAAATCAGTCGGAAGTCGCAACGGCTCATTTCAAAATAAACGTTTCTGCAGGCTCTTCTTCGGGTGCACATGTGAAGGGATCTTGGAATAGGTTGAATGACTTCTCGTGGTCACTGAAGTCCGAGAAGCGGTGGTGGAATTCCTCTTGGAATTTTTCCATGAGGTTGTGGTTCTTGTCTGAACACAGGTGATGTAAAACATCACATTCTCCTGCGAGCACCTTGCAGGCGGAGAAATGGGTTAGATCCCCCTCTCTGAGCTGTCCCTACAGTAGTTGAAGTTTTCGCTGGAAAGCTTTGACGCTGTCAAACAATGTGGAAATGAGCTTCCCATGGCCCTGCAGCTTCACATTGAGATCGCTGAGAAAGGTGTTCAGGTCAACAAGGAACGCTAGGTCACAAAGCCATTCAGTGTCACTTAACTGTGGCAGATCTTGTCCTTTTGATTGCATGAACTCAGCGATTTCTTTCCTCAAATAAAAAAAAACGCTTCAGTGTGGCACCTCTGCTCAGCCACCTGACAGCAGTGAAGTATATGACGTCACCAAATTCAGCCTCTGATTGCACCAAAAAAGTTTTGAATTGACGGTGATTCAGACCTCTGGACTTTAGGAAATTCACTGTCTTGACAACAATGTCCATGACATGTTTCATTTCAAGCGTATGAGCAGCAAGGGCTTCTTGGTGAATTATGCAGTGATATTTGATTAGGTTCTCACCTCCGTTATTGGCCACTTTGTCGCTGAGCAAAGAGACAGCACCCGCCTTTCTCCCGACCATGGCTGGCGCTCCATCTGTTGTGACACCGACCATGGATGTCAGCTCCACATTGTATGCATCGAGACTACGACACACAGCATCACAAATGTCGATTCACCTTGTTCTGTCTTTGATACTCTCCATGCTTAGCAGTTCCTCGCCTATTTCCAAACATTTGGACTACCTATGTTGCAAATGTATTATCTTTTCAATTTACACACGGCATCTATTGCACGTCTGTCCGTCCTGGGAGAGGGATCCCTCCTCTGTTGCTCTCCCTGAGGTTTCTCCCATTTTTCCCTTTAAACTGTGGGGTTTTCTCCGGAAGTTTTTCCTTGTACGATGTGAGGGTCTAAGGACAGAGGGTGTCGTATTGTCATACTGATATTTTGTACAAACTGTAAAGTCCACTGAGACAAATGTAACATTTGTGATATTGGGCTATATAAATAAACATTGATTGATTGATTGATTGATATTTCAAAGTCCTCCGTGACCGTTCGAATGAAAATCAGCAGTTGTGCAGTATCAGAAATGTCTGTACTCTCATCCAGTGCTATAGAAAAGGACCCCTTGCCTAGGCCTTCCACACGTAGTCCCAATTGCTCTTTGAGATCATTGGCCAGATCTTCGATTCGTCGTGTCACTGTGTCATTCGATAAACTTATGTCATGGAACTTTGACTTTTGTTCAGGGCATACAATGTCAGCCACTTTCAAAATGCAGTCTCGCACGAATTCTCCATCACTGAACGGCTTGCTCCGCCTGGCAATTTCGTGAGCTACCACATAGCTAGCCTGTGTTACAGCTTCACCGGATTTTGCAAGATTTGTGAAAACTGACTGCTGGGCAGTTAAATCTCTTTGAAGTTGTTCAAGTTTAGTTCTGCGCTCCTTGCCCATGAACTTGTCATACATTTTATGATTGGTATCATAATGGCGTTTGATGTTATACTCTTTGAGCATTGCATTCACCTGCTTGCAGATGAGCCATATCACTTTATCCGACCCCTGAGGTAAAACGAAGTAAGCGTTGCTCCATTTCTCCTGGAACTTCCTTTTCTCCTCACTGACACAACGACCCTGGCTCCTCCATCTCGCTTACACAACGAAAACTTCCAACAACTTTTGTTGCGAAGGACTGATGGTTTGGGCCACGGGCTGTTCACGTGAACACTTTGCCGCCTTTGGGACATGCTTCCAGTGCATGCACCCCTCATAGCTCCTCTCGTGCATCCAATCAGGGAGTGAGTTTGGGGATGCTCGCGCTGGGGGTAGTCAGTGGAAATAACAGTGTGCCTGAGTGTGGACGTTGGGAGAGACAGCTTGTTGTTTTATTGTATAACCGGACTTTTGTGTGCGTTCATATACTTAACCACACACGCAAACACACACACGCAAATAACCACAATCACACACACGCCTTATATATACAAACAAACACACATACATTTTGTGTACATATGCATTCACCTCCTATTTAGAATAAACATCATTTGGAGTATACATCTTCTCTGGCATTTTAATCAGATGCACCACAGCGGCTTCTCATATAATTTCTTACCAGTCAACTAGTGACTCATCCAAAACAACTTTCGACTTTTGATCTAGCAAAAATGACAGTGTTGCATTTCCCTCCGAATAATGGTCGTAGGCTTTACTTTACTGATGAATCAGAATTTATTTGTAACTCCAGACCCAACAAGAGCTTGTGGCCTCTTCGGGGGGTGCTAAACATTTAAAACATACAGTCCGTTGTTCTCTTTCTCTGCCGTTACATAGAAAACACTACTTTATCCGTCAAGTTGTCTCCAATGCCACCACAACTTCCTGTCAAACACGTTATCTCGCCTTCAAAATAAAAGCATGCAAACGAAACAGGAAGTTAACCTAAATTACTAGATACGAACCATGGAGGATTAAAATATAATGCATGCATTTCAGCGTGTCACATTAACTATCGCGGGCCGCCAGAAACATTTCCCGGGGCTGCCATTGGCCCGCGGGCCGCACTTTGAGAACCCCTGTTGTAACGGCATAATTACAAGTGGAGAACGGAGTAATTTAACGTTACAGCAGGCATAACAACAGCCGGTGTTTCTCGTGAGGGTTTTCCCCGGGAAACAAACACAATACACACAAACGCAAAAATACACAAACACGTATACACACACACACACACTCGCGAGCTTCCCCCAGACCAGTAATCCAAACGAAAATATCTTCCCTCCGTAGTATTTTGATAATTTGCTCCGCTAATCAATCAGATCGATGGATTCCAGAGAAGAGAAAACTTTGAAGGCCTTTTTCTCAAAATGATGACTCGGTGACAGTCATTATATAATGTGACATATTTCGCTTAATATTAGGAGTACAAAAACAATCCTGATATCATTAGAAAGCTAGGAATATCCTCTTTCCAGCAGTGTATACAACTCAAAATGTGTCTTCGGGTCAATGTGACTGATTTCGATAGAGCAGGTCACAAATGTGTAGTGTATAATGCCTGGGTAACTTATCTAGTATCCTATCCATGTGTGGGAAGATATATATTTGTTTTTTTAAATGCATCAATCTGGTGCACTTTGACTGTCTGTCTGTCTGTCTGTCTCTCTCAGCACAAGGGGGGATGGGGCGTTTAAACCCTGAGGAGGAGAGCAGTAGCATCTGTTCAATATTTACCTTGTGTCTACTTTCTTGTTTATTTCAATGCCATGTCTTTTCAATCAATAAAGTACTATCTTATCTTAGGCCTGACTAAGATAAGAGTAGTCACTGTGAGTGTGAGAATACGTGTTCACCTCCTTCCTGCAGGTCATGCAGAGGCCAGAGCAGAGTGTAAGCGAGCCCCCCCTGCATGTAGAAGAAGGGGGCCATGCGGCAGCTGGGCTGGTCTGAGTGCTGCACCCGGGAGCCAAACTCATCCATGATGTACCACACCGGGACTTTGTCCTCCGGAGACTGCACCCGAAAACACAGAGGAGAACAGTGAAGTAGACGACTGAGACTCTACTACGTCCACCATGGTTTGCTTTCCATTTCAATCATTTATCAGATGTTTTAGAATTTGTATAGTTTTGTGCACAATTTAACAATACACAAACATAACCAACCACCAATTATGTAGAGTACTACAGGAAGAGGCTTCAAACCTACTGGGCTTATTTAAAGGGGACCTATTGTGCAAAATCCACTTTTTCATGTCTTTTATACATAAACGTGTGTCCCCTCTGTATAAAGAGATTCTGAACGTTTCAGGAAAAAAGATTCTCTCACTTTGTGTCCTGATCCATTTATATAAAAACCTGTCTGAAATGAGCTGATCATATTTTGGCCACTTTATGATGTCATGACGATTTTTTGGGTAACCAATAGCCAATAACCAACCCAGGTAACCCCCCCCCCCCTTATCACCTGAATCTCCTCCTAGAGCACCATTGTGTTCTTTTTAACAACATATAACTCAGAGTGGCTCCTTATTTTCATCTAAAGTAACAGACAGAGAATCAGCACTTTTGAAACAGGGCTGAAACAGAGGGGATTATGGGATGCTACAATGCATGATCTGTTTATTATTTCGAGCCAAACACTTCAGAGACATGTTTTGTATATATCTGAGACCTATAATATATTGATGAAAAACAGTATAATAGGGGACCTTTAAAGTCTTCAGCGAACACAAGATTAATATACATAACTGTTGGTATAAATGAATAAGACGTACCCCCTCGGAGAGGTTATAAGTCTGGTTGTACTTCCACATGTTCTCCATCACCAGCTCCACTGTGTCTGGGTCAGGGGCCTCGCCGTGGAAGTCCACCCCCATGAGGGCGGCCATTCTGGGCAGCAGGCCGGGGATCTGCTCCAGCTGCTGACGGCACTGTTCCACGCGGTACGTCCAGGCGTGATCCACCAGGAACACACTGCCGGCAGCGGAGAGGTATGGGCTCAGAACAGTCTCATAATACACACATGCACACAGAAGGATTCACACTTATATATTTCATGATCCGCAAAAGGATTCACACTTGTATTTCCGGATCCACACTTGTGTTTTTCAATGCACACACACAAATGTGTTCCGTTTCATATACATGTAAATAAAATCCAAATACAGAAAAAAGTTTTACATATGTATTTTTGATCCTCACATATTTGTTTTCCGTTTAAAACCTCTGCACCGGCAAACACAAACCGCTTTCTGTGCATGGATCGCTGTGCATTCGTGTGTGGGTTTTTTGAGACTCCCCTGACGCTCACCCGATTCGTACTTGTAATTTTTTCTATCTATAGCCAATCAGATGTCTCCTTCATTCTAAGCCAATCACATGAGCGCGCCCCCACGAGGGTATGATTTCACGTCATGGATGTTTAAAGTTTAACTTCTTCATATGTCTAATATTATATTTGACTTTTCATTCAGGAAGTATGACGCTGCGCTGTCAGTACGCTTGTCCATGTTTGTGATTGGTCGAATGCTCCCAATACCACCCCTTTCATGTGAACGCGCACCTAACTAGATAGGACACGGCTGGCTTGAGCGATCCACTTGATAACCCGCGTCGTAGTACAGTTTAGCGAGAGCACGTATGTTTTGGATTAGGCCAACCGGCTAACTCAAACATATCCAGGTTATGTTGAACCAGCTTCATAGTACAGGCCTCAGGTCTCTAGTAATTGTGTGCTCAAAGTGCACCAGATTGAAGCATTTTACTTTAAAATGTTTAAAACAATCTTCTCGGAGGGCATACCCCCGGACCCCCGTAGAGGATGTGACGGCCACCCCCCAATTCAAACCTGTTCATACAATAATACATTTGAAGCCATTTTGACGTATATTAACTATGTCAATAAGTTTCTGTTTTTGTAGTGTATTTGTCTTTTGTAGAGATTTTTCATCTATTCTTTATAAAATCTCGCCTAGGGCAGCAAATTGGCTAGAACCGGCACTGGTAAAGGCCTCAAGAGCCTTTCTTGTGCTGGCAGACACATAGAAACAAATTGGCGGGGCGCACTTCACACGTGCACACACTAAAGAATTCCAGTGAGCTCCGCGCTCACATTAAGCTGGGCCCACGTGCCTTAGCACCGCTGCTATGACTCCATCCTAGGGGAAACAGTGTACTGCTAAATTCTTCTGTAGAGTGGGATTTATGGCGCGTTTCCACTGCAGGCCTCGCTCGGCCTCGCTCGGTTTGGTTTAGCCCGGCTCACTTTAATGCTGCGTTTCCATTACAGTTTAGGAACTGGGGTAGTTACCATAGTAACGCAGTGTAGGCGGGGCGATCAACTTTTTGGCGGGCGGAGCGACGCTGCATACAACTGCCGTGATGTCATCTTCAATGCGACACAACTCACAAAACACACAACAACAATGGAGGATGTGGAAGCCATCGTGTCCTTGCTTCTTGGTATGTGGTTTTTTACCACAGCAAGAAGGACAACTTTGTTTCGGAAAAGGCTGCTTATAGCAAGACGTAATACAGAAGAAGCTGAGGGGAGACTTATGGCAATCGTACAACGCGGCAGAGACTACTCCAGGACGACTCAACGACAACGCTACTCGGTAAGCTAACGTTCGCTAACTAGCAATGTGTTTCACGCTCACTATACGACCAAAGTGTTTCACGCTCATTATATGACAAAAGTGTTTCAAGTATTTAATTAATTGTAGCTACCACTTTTACGTATTAAAATATGTATGCTTTTGTTTGTGTATTTCAGAAGTTAGGCTGCCACCGCAGACCATGTGTTTGGAAGCTTGACCGAGCAACCGAGTGGTGGGGTGTGATTGTTCCATCTTTCACACACACTCAGTGGGTGGAGAACTTCAGGATGTCTGAGGAAACCTACGTATACCTGTGCAACAAACTGCGGCCAGCGATGGAGAGACAGGACACAACATTCCGCGAGTGTATACCTCTAAAGAAGAGGGTGGCCATCGCACTGTGGAAGCTTGCGACCGGCTCAGAGTTTGATGCGCTACCTGAATAGCTAAATATTCATTGTATACAGGAAACTTGAATGTTTTTGGTTCATAACATCATGGTTCAGTAAGTTGATATACATTTCTTGTGTTTGTAATTATAAACACGACATTGAAAGATTGTGGGCCATTAAGGCTAGTGACGTTTTGTTTTTATTATTACTACATTGTATTGAACATAAATAAATCTATTTTTCTCTTTCACATATGTGTTTGTCAAATGATTTAAACAAAAAAATGTTATCAGAATTGACTATTTAGTAAATATTTGATTTTCAAGCACCAGTAAGTACTTCCCTATAATAAGAACATTTGAGCGAATATGAAAGTAAACATAAATACAAATGATCTCTTATCCCCCTTCTCTTCCAGTTTATTTGTAAAAGGAAATATTTTACTTTAATTAATGTGTCAGTTACCAAATAATGTTTTAGAGGAGGACCTCAAGCAAGCAAACTCAATTTCTTGCTTTAAATCTCTTCTTAAAATTAACTTTTATCTTATGGGCTTTTTCCTAACTGATGGTGTTTCTTATTGCTTTATAAATGCATGTATGTTTATATCTAGATCTTAATTGGGCTATTTTTACAATTATTTTTGAGTGATATTGTAGGCTTTTGTTTTTAAAGATCCACAAATATTATTAGTAATGGTATTAGTTGTAGCCTATTTTTATTTAGGAAAAATATAGGCCTATAGCTTCTGCCTCATGTGAATCTGAGTTTTTGTTCTGCTGATTTAAAGCCCTTTAATTGTACATTTCAGTTTATGATTGGATTCCAAAACTGTAATGTTGTGTGTGAGTGGCAACCCAGTGACTTTGTTTACATACTCACGGAAATCAGTTTGTTAATCAGTACTTTATTGAATCCCAATTTGGGAAGTGTTTTTTGTTGCAGCATAAAAAGGCATGGCATTGTATGTACAATAGAAATAAAAAATATATATATATTTGTTGCAGCAGCATAAAAAGGCATGGCATTGTACAAATACAAAATAAAAAAATGTTTGTATTGCAGCAGCATAAAAAGATATGACATTATAAAAAAAAAAAAGGAAAGATAAGAAATAAACTGGAGGAACGTCGCAACTTCGTCAATCGACCACGGTATGTTTTTCTTTGCCATTTTCTTAGGTTTACAAAAATGCTGCAAGCGTCCCTTAATATATGCGACACTAGGGATTAAGTCGCGCGAGAATTGTGACGATTCTCTCTGACCAATCAGAGTCGTCACTAGTTTAGCATATTCCGCCCGGTTGTTGGCCCCGCTTGTTGGCCTCGATAGAACCACGATTTAGTCGGGCCAGAAAAAGGGTGAAAAAGTAGCCTCGGGCCAAAACTAGGCCAAGTGGAAACGCAACCAAAAACGGGCCCCGCACGGCTCGGCGCGCTTAAAGCGAGCTACCCGCTGCAGTGGAAACGCGCCATTATTGGCCTGTGGCACTCTCACCTGGTCGGCTCAGAGACCTGCAGCCCACTGTCCCGGGTCACAACCACTTTACAGCTCATCCCTGCTCCTGGGTTGACCCTCTTCTTCTCATTCTCTTCATTCTCCTCCTCTTCCTCCTTGTCTAGTTGGAGCTGCATGATGCCAAAAACTTCCCCAGCATCATAAATCTATGACACAAAAAATGTATATAGATAGGAGTCATTATTTTCACATGTTACTTACCACCAGACTCCATTAGCGAATTTGTCAATTTTAGTTTTGCCTGCTTCTCATTTTAAAAAGGGGCTCTTCAGTAGCACAGCTTTGAGGTGATACATATAGTATTAGTTACTTTCTTCAACTCGGCATACTTCAAATACCCCCAATAGTTACTTTTTAACTACCCGGTAACAAAGGTAAACTGAAGTGTAAAACATCTATAAAGACAGACATGACATTGAAAAAAAAGGCTACATGTAATGCCGAATAAACTCGGGGAAGGTATGAGTGTTGGTAAAGATAAGATATATGCCTTATTCAAAGTGTAAGTTTGCAAACAATAAAAGGAAAAGCTCACTATTCAGATTTGATATGCGAGTTTGCAAAATACCTTTCCCTGTGATAAATCATGTTTTAATTACATAGAAGCCGGGTAACCAGTCGTAATCTAAGGTTTTGCTTTACATAAAAACATGATATATAATCTGTAATTATTTGCTAGTAGCCTTACATTCATGCAACCCGGCGTTTTTTTGGCCATTAGCAGCAAGAAATGCACGCAGAACATGTATTGCTATGTTTTCCTACTGTTTATCCAACAACTGTGCTACAGTGGCTGAAACTTTAGCATTGAGCTACACCCATAGACTGTATATATAAATGGACGTAGGGTCCGTGACGTCACCCATAGGATTCTGCAGAGTTGCCGACAAGCCCTTAATAGGCGGAGTCGGCCACTAACGGCTCGACAGTGACTTGTTACGGTGCTGCGTTGGCAGAGACAGACCTCGTTGGTGATTTTGTCATGCAGGCTCCTCCAGTAGATAAGAGGGATTCCGGAGGACTGCAGGGCCCCGGCATGAAGGGCCACAAAGTCTCTGAAGTCCTCGTCCTCGTTTCCATTCATAATTAAAGTGTTTGTTGTCATTTGACTCGAGCAGATAGCACTCACGTGGAGTTGGACGGAGGAAACCCGGAAATAGTCTGACAGCCAAGCAAGCAGTGCATTGTGGGAGAGTTTTTTTTAAAGGGAACTCAGCTTTATACTTTACGCCACAATATTTACACCACTGTGTTAAGAGTTATTTTATAGGTTAGTATAACCCCTATACGATACTCCACAAACAGCAATATCTATATTGTTGTAAGTCTTTTTTGTCCATTATTGAAAAATAAAATACTTATTTATAATAAAACTCTTTCTTTTTAATAAACTGACTTACACACTTGAATTCCATCTAATAAAGTAAAACACAAATAAAAATGAATTAGACTTGATGATCACTTTCCTTTATTAGAAGAAAACATTTTTTAACAATCAATATAAATAATAACTAGGTCTGATGGTTTTTTGCATGAAGTCTATTTTTTATTATTTATGTACATATTACTGATAGTACCTTTAGGAATTAAAGCTATCTTTTTGGAGACATATTTATATTTAAGTAAAGGATCTGAATAACTCTTCTGCCACTGTCGATGGAGTTATAGAATGTCAATTAATGAAAAATCCTTAAAGGCCCTAAAATAATGGGAAAAATATATAAAAAATTTGACTATCACTGGATTATGAAAAATAATGGTATTTCTGAGTCAAGGTTTTAAGAGAAACTGAATACAAATAGTCATTGGTTTGTCACATGTTTATTCAAATAAATTAATAAACAAACAAGAGATATCCATCCAAATTGAGCATCAACATTAGAAATATAAAAAAGGTAAGGGGTAAATGGAGTTATCAAAACTCACTTAAATACACTCACAAAGCTTTTAGCTCTGACACGTCATATATCATGTTATGTAAACAGACAATACATTTAAATCAATAAATGAAGGTACTATTTAATCTAAACTAAATAGAATCTTAGGCTGAGTATCGATAATCTTCTGTGCAGCTTACATAATACCCAATACATTGCCCTGGACATGGTTACATGTAATCAACATCTTGAAGACTCTTCACTTTGATTGATTCATTTAAAGCATGAATGTCTTTAAAATAAATTAAACAAATGATGTTACAACAAGATTTCTTAGCGGCTAGCATCAAAAATAGCAAGGGACATTTAATGTGGAGATCCTCTTTTTTCAGGGCGTCGTCGTCCACATGTTTGGCCAGTTTGATTAAGAAATGTCAGACCTCCCTTAACAAGGTTACCTTAACCAAACCAAACTGGTAACATAGGTGTAAAATCCCAATTAGTACTCATGAATATTAGAACAAAACAACATAGGGATAGGAGCAGCCTGAGGGCATTGGGCCCATGCTATAAACACTGAAGTCAGCATGAAAACAGAGCCAACACTAGGGTTTACGGCTAAGGGAAAGCCCCACATCCTCATGAGCTGTCAGGACATTGCAGTCATAAAGTGGAGATGAAGTGCTTCACTGAAAAGGGCAGGACATGATACTATAACATTCCTTTGTAAACCCATTTTATAAACTGGCCCTCTACATCTTCTTTTACCATGCAGTGTCTCTTTATTGTGACAAAAAAATGGTCTAAATATTGAGAATGTTAACCCTGGTCTCCAGTGTCCAAGTCATGTGCTTTTGTGTGATCCACCCCACCCTCCCAACACTTTTCACTACAAAAAAGCTTAGCAGTGAATGTAAATCACTGCTGAAAATCAGTTGCATATGAACTTATTTTGTATAAATGCTTGAAACTACATAATCTTTATGTGCATTGTTTACGGCGGTTGTTTTCAAACCTCAACTAGCTCACATTGGCATCGTTTCCCAGCATGCACAACGGAGCATCGCTGAAATCCTTTGAATATGGCTTCAACTTTACATCTTTAGGAAACATTCTTTGGCATTGCTCCACATTTGTATTCCCTGCAGGGAGAGAAAGGAAAACACATGAACAGACAGTTGAACAGCTTCCTTCTCATAGCTGATGTGCTGTTCCGTACCTTTTTGCACATGCTGACTTGCATGACAGCGTAGTTGATGAGCGCCTCCCGCAGATCTTTGTCTTTCTGCTCCTTGAAGCGCTGCACATCCACCCATGCCTTCTCAACATGTTCTCTGCAGTAATATAGATCAAATTAATCTCACACTTTTGGCAAATACATTATCTATAATCTTGATCATAAACAGAACATTCTTTTGAAGAGGCCTTATTGTGCTTTTTGGGGTTTTACCTTTCCTGTAGTGTGTTATATAGGTTTATGTAAATGGTCTGCAAAGGCTGATTGAAATCCTCACATCACTGTTTAACCCTTTCACTTCTGTTATGGAAATTGTGAGATCAAATGTATTAACATTGCTGACTGTAAACTGTTCCTCTGATTAGGTCATAGCGTGGGAGTGATCCTTAAATGTATGTGTGGTCAACAGAGGGGGCTCGTCCGGTTTTGTCTACTTGAGTAATCTACTGTGAGGCGTCCTCTCCGGGTAAACTGTGCACAGCCAGAGACCGGGTCCTGGAGGCAAAACCTCTCCCTGTACGATAGTAACTGATCGCAGGGAAGAGCAGAAGCCGCCTGTAGAGGGGGGATCACAGACTTTCTCGGTACGAAATTTTTCCAAGGGAATAATACTTTTTTTCAAAAAGAGGAGAAAAGGTGAGAGCACAATATTTGTATGTTAAAGAATAAAATGAAAAGTGAACTCACTGAGGGCTGACGAGCTAATTAATGTTTCTGTACGTTAATCGAGTGTAACTAGGGTTATTGATGGTGTCTGATGCATACAATAATTCACGACGTCGAAACAGTTCTGATAACTGTAAGAAAGCGCTATATTAGTAGATAAAGGCCTATGATAAATATATAGAAGTGATCACGCGTAGTGATAATAGTTATGACAAAATTAAGATAATATCTTGAGTAAAACATTGTATTTTCAATATATGTAGGCCTATTGTATATTTGTATTAACATTGAAGTGAACTAATTTCAGGTGCTGTTGATTTGACTGATTTCCTGTATTTAAAGTGGGATTTGTAGTTATTTTGGGCAATTATATTTCTATATTTGTATATAAAAGATTAAAAATGGGAATGTTAAATGGTAAAGAGGTAATTTTGGAGTTTGAAGGGTGTGCAAAGATAATATGCGACAAGCATGGTGCTTGGACATGTGAATATTTAAATATGTGGGTGAAAAATGGTTTTCCTGACAAAGGCAGTTCAAGTCTAAATCAGTTAGAAAGATTAAGACAGGGTTTAGAAAAAGTAGAAAATCAAAAAAAGAAAGGAGAACAGGGGGGTGGTGTCATCAAAACTCAGTGTGCTAGGGTCCTTCTAGATAAACTGGACCGCGACCTGGACTTTCCCTCTGGGTCTCAAGTACAGAGCCCCGACCCTCCTGATCTGGATGACACACAAGGCCTCTGTAGAACTCTTCATTCTCCTCCGCCATATGATGGACAAAAAGCTGAATCAACGACAAGGCTGTATGCAGAACACCATGCTGGCAGAGATCTACTCTGCAACAGTCCCTCAGGGAAAGGGTGTGAAGCCCTTCTGGAACCACATGTTTTGACCCCTGGAGGGCCACTTTCAGGCTGGGAAACAATACGGGACAGGAAAGACAGTTGCATTGTGATGCCCATTGTTGAAATTCTTAATCCTAGAGGGGATGTAAACGATGCAGAAATCGCGTATGTTTTCCATCCCTGGTCTTCAAGAGAGAGAGAAGCTATAAACAACCTGCATAACCCAGTTGAGATTTGGGAAGGACATTTGAAACCTGTCCTCACCTATGACCGCCCTGCTGGAAAAGTAATGAACAATGTTACTGAAGAATTAACGAAAATAAAAGATAAGACTGGAAAGCGTTTTCAGACGGCACAGCTCCAGGCTTTTGAACAGCAGAATCAAAGGGGCAGAAGAACATCAAGTAGAGGAAGAGGCAGAGGGGATATTTCCGCTGTGGTTCATTGGAACATCGAATTAAAGATGGTATGGAACTGAAGGGAGGAGTAGCAATATGAAGAAGAAGAAGAAGAAGAAGAAGAAGAAGAAGGTGGGACTGTTTTCAAGCCTGCAAGGTCACAGAGTGAGAGGAGGTCGGGAGCGCTGGGGCTTGAGATAACCAGAGGAGACAAGGAAGAGAACTGGAAATGAGTGAGTTTTGCACATAAACACACGTACTCACTAATGCACACAAAACGGGACCACATTAAAGAACTTGAGCTTGTTAAATATAAAAAAATGGTTTTATTCCGTAAGAATTAAGCAATCAAGCAAGTAAATTACAAATAGCAGAAAAGAGGATATTATTTAAAGTAAAATGAGAAAATAAACTTAAAACACACTGTAGGCACTGTAGGAGTACAGGGTAGAACACATTCTTTGATCTTTTCATCATATTGACCAATTATTCTTTTAGAGCTTTTTATTCATGTGTGAACTTGGAAGTGTTTTCATTTGTAAAAATATTGATCTACAGTTTAAATAGACCCTCCAGAAAAACGCGGGTAAAAATCCTTGATTATGCGGGCTAAAATCCTTGATTATGCGATCAAACATGCAGGGTTTATGTGATTTTATGCGGTGAAATTGCGGAAAGTTGCGAAATATGGGGAAAGTTGCGAAATATGCAGAAAAAATAAATATTGGGCTGTCTTATTTATTTATTCTCTCTCACACACAACCTGCCACTAACGTTAAACCCCTTTATTATTCAATTAAACACATTCAATATTTATTTATTGTAAAAGCAATTGGGCTATTTTAATCACACTCTCTCTCTCTCTCTCTCTCTCTCTCTCTCTCTCTCTCTCTCTCTCTCTCTCTCTCTCTCTCTCTCTCTCTCTCTCACACACACATCTGTGGGGAGAAGGGGCCACTTTACCCACCCTTCAGTTGTTTTCAAAAATCTTATCTGCACGCTAGGGAAGCATGCAAAGCACCAGTTTATGAGTTTAAAAAGACCAGCGCCACGACCTTCCAGTGGACATCCACTTAATTAGTGATGACCTGAAATTAGAAGATGTTACGCTCAAATTGTGGGCTGATCTCAAATATGGTATTTATTAAAA